CAATCTGTAGTACCAGAAATGTGGCAACAGAGGTCATTAGTCTGTTCTGCACGCTCTATAACACACATCTTGTTGGAATTTGGAATAAATCGCGCTGCAGGCGAATGAAGATACCAAATCCCCAAACCAGGCATTGAAAGCGAAACTGGTTCCAATTTGGATTAGCAAAAAGCCCAACCTTCTATTTTGGCTCACGGGCCCCTGAGACAACTCCAGAAAACGGCTGGTTTAGCCAACGCTGTCGTCATATAACGGCCTTTTACTGTAATAGCTGATGTCACTTCGTTTCCAGTGGCGACTAGCAGAAAGCCTCCCCGCGTGGCACGGACATACGACTTCTAGCTTCGTGGACCAACCATAAGCTTAACAATTCCAAGCAAGGCATTAGCATTCAATAAACTCAACTAGCCCGGCATTAGCTCAGCGGAAGCTCGGCAAGGGGCATTGGTGGCTCCATACAAGATCACGACTACACAGGTTTCTTATGCTTACTTGTGTATATCGTGCAGAGCAATCACATATACTGAGACCGACCAATGAGAATGTGGTGATCTCTAATAACTAAGATTTTAGTCTGGGGGATCGCCTAGCTGCGATGCTAAACAGGAAATGTCTTCATGTGGCTTTTGGTGTTATCGGATAAGTGCTGGAACCAATGCAGAAGATGTAATAAACAACGTCATCAGTAGGATCGTGCATCTGAAAGGGAGCAAACCAAAAAGCAATCATAGAGGAAAGGAGAGTCATAAAAGGGTCGACTGTTTCGTCTCATCACAGCCTCTGTTTGTACAATCACCATCATCTCTTCCCCATTCTTCTTCCTATCCTCTTCATCATGAAGATCTCTCTCTCCTCATGGCTCGCAGCAGCCTGCATCTTCCCCACTGCTCTCGCTTTCCCCCAGTTGAGCCCTGAGCAGCTCGAGACCTATCGACGACATGTCGAGAGGAATGCCGCACCTGAGGCATGCCCCTTCGCTGCTGAGCGTGAGAAGCGCGACGCAGAGGCCGATTGCCCCTTCGCAAAGAAGGAGAAGCGAGCTGCCAAGTTTGATGCTAAGAAGCAGCGCGTCAGCGTCTCTGGCGAGCATCAGTGGAAGGCTCCCAACTTCAAACTTGGTGACCAGCGAGGTCCTTGCCCGGGTCTCAATGCCTTGGCCAACCACGGCTATCTTCCCCACAACGGAGTCGCAGACATGCAGACCATTATTAAGGCCACCAACGAGGTCTATGGCATGAGTTTGGACCTCGGCGGCTTTTTGGCTGTCTACGGTACCGTTATCGACGGTAACCCGCTCTCCCTTAACCCTGGCTACTCCATCGGTGGCCCGAGCAAGTTCAGCGAGAACATCCTTGGTGGAGGTGGTATCCTTGGTACGCCATCTGGCCTTAGTGGCAGTCACAACAAGTACGAGTCTGACGCGAGCGCCACTCGCGGAGATCTCTATGTGACTGGAAACAACTTCCACGTGGTCAAGAGCCGCTTCGAAGACTACTGGCGCGCCATCAAGCCCAACACCCCTGCTCCCAAGCAGTACGAGGCGCTGGCACCCTTCCACAGCAAACAGTACGACAACTCGCTAAAGACCAACAGCCACTTCTTCTACTCTCCCTTCGCTGGAATTTTGGTATCACCTGCAGCGTATGCCTTCCCCCCGCGAATGATGGCCAACCACTCCAAGGAGTACCCCGAGGGATATCTCTCTCGCGAGGTCTTCACCAGCTTTTTCGGAGTCAAGGGCAGCAAGCCCGGTAACTTCCAGGTCAACCAGGGCTGGGAGCGCATTCCCGAGAACTGGTACAAGCGTCCTGTTGGCGATGACTACTCCATTCCCGACTTCCTTATCGATGTCCTTTCGCACGCTGCCAAGTACCCCAAGCTTCTGAGCTTCGGTGGAAACACTGGAAAGCCCAACAGCTTTGCGGGCGTGGACATCAAGGATCTCACTGGCGGCGTTTTCAACACTGCTAACCTGCTCAAGGGCAACAATCTCGAGTGCTTTGTTATGCAGATCATTATGGCTGCTGCCCCTGATCTCGTTGGCAGCCTGTTCACTGACCAGAAGAAGGCTCTTCGGCCCTTGTCGGATAAGCTCGCCCAACAGCTTGCCGGAAAGAGCTGCCCCAGACTCCAGAAGGTGAACAACAAGCTGTTCAAGAAGTACCCTGGCTATACCGAGAAGTATGGTACCTACGCTGGTATTTCTAAGGGCGGTCTTATCGGTATCATTGACACCACTAAGGGAGTCCTTGGAGGCTTGTGGCCGACTGGCAAGAAATAAACGATGAGTGTTTAGCGCTCTATTTTGTGTTTGATAGTTGTGGCTTCTTAGTTATGAACTTATGTCTGGGTGAGGGAGGCGCATCTGGGCTTTGGGATTTAGTCGGTAATCAATCTGTTTGCAAGTTTTCAATCCAATCAATATTACCTTTGCAAACCATTACATGAAGGAGACCCATGAAAGGCGTTCTGAACTGACTGGCAAATTCATTCCACTGGGTCACGGCCTTGACTAAAATAAGCTTAAGTAGGACCTTGTCCACACAACATAACCAAAGTGATGCATGCTACTGGTAGGACGTGTTGTTTCCAAGGTCTTCATGGATGCATCGCAAGAACATCCGAGCCCTGTGGCTTTGTTCACATTGAGTTGTAACACTTTCTTTGTTAGATGCCGTATACGTCCGCCAGATTCGTCACGGTTAGCTTGGTGGTGCCGTTCTGCTGGGTCAGGTGTGCTATATCAGCTGGCGATTGGCAGGACTTAGAGAAACTGAAGTCCAAAGCGCCTCTTGCGTAAGTACTCTGCTGATGAGGATTGATTAATGGGAATTACTATCAGAGAGGAAATCAATCTGAATTTGCAGTAATCCTTAGCTAGTCTTGACGAATTTGGCGGATACGGTATTGGGGCTCCAGCTTGAATTGCCTATTCTGGGTACGTTGACGTGCTAAATCAGCCACGTAGATTTATATCTGGACACTACGGAGTAGAAACAAACGTATTGTAACTGCCGCCAGCGGAGCGAAACGCCCGCCTGGATACGCTTAAGAAGCCTAAATTTCAATAGCTCAGGCCCCAAGCGCTTTAACACTAACGCCCACAAACAGGGGTAAGCCGAGGCTAGTGAGGCTGGTTCCCGGAGCTATCACTTCGTATCCATGCGATTGACGCACGGCGACATTGGAGCTATCGACAAGCTGTGATAAGATAGGTTGCACACGTAAACATGCAGATGTGTTCCCCGCGTCATAGATCAAGCATGTGTGTGGCCTAACGCGAGGTGCGTGGTGCTCGGACACCGGCAGATCAGTGTGAAGAAATTGCTTAATTGAGATCGACGGTGCAGCTTCTCTTATAGCTACCTGATTCCCCCCACTATCTCCTGATCAATCATATTCTTCTCAGGAACAATGCGGTTTCACGTGCACCTCCTGAGCCTCTGTGTTCTTTCTGGCTTTAGCACAGCAGCCCCATCGTCGCCAAACCCAGAGCTTGAGCAGCGACGGGTTCTGAGCGGTATTGTCAACGGTGTCGATAATGCCTTGAGTGCGACGATCAGCGGGCTTCTCGGTTCGCTCCGAAAAGCTATTGACAGTGGCGATAGGCAAAAGACCCTTGATGTTTTGCAAAAGCTGAAGTCCACGAAGAAGCCAAAGAACGTCAGCGAAGCCAACAAAGTACTGAAGGCTGTTGTGGACTCCAAGCCTAAGGATTTTGTTGAGTATACCGGTCGCTTGATCGCGAACGGCATCATTGCCGGGGATACAGTCGACCTCTTTAGTTATGCTAAAGGCCTTGTCAGTCCCGAGAATGGAAGCAACAATAAGTAAGTCAATGACATGGTCACTGTATTCTCACCTAACCGCTGCTAGAAACCGCAATCCGCCAAAGGGAAAATCCGTCTACCCCAGGGTATTGAAATGCGATGCCTCATACACAGTCCCCGAAGCAAAGCTGCGCGCTGCCATCTATATCCCAGACACATTCACGTATGGTAAATTGCCTCCTGTCATTCTGTTTCCCGGTACTGGATCCACTGGGTACACCACATTTCGAGGCAACTTCATCCCGCTACTGACGGGAGTGAACTGGGCTGACCCTGTGTGGGTAAATGTGCCTGGACTTCTACTTGACGATGCCCAGACCAACGCCGAGTACGCCGCTTATGCGCTGAACTACATTGCTGCTATATCAAAGCGAAATGTTCAAATCATTGGCTGGTCTCAAGGCAACATCGACATCCAATGGGCGTTCAAGTACTGGCCGTCAACACGCAAGGTCACAGAAGACCATGTTGCTGTCAGCGCAGATTACAAGGGCACTATCCTCGCCAACTTTGTCGATATCTCTGGTATTACCAACACACCTGCCGTTGTGCAACAAGAAGCCGGCAGCAACTTCATCAAAACGCTGCGGTCGGGTGGCGGTGATTCTGGTTATGTTCCCACAACAAGCCTGTACTCCAGCTTCTTTGATGAGATCGTACAGCCCCAGAAAGGCACTGGAGCTTCAGCTTACTTGCTCGACGCTCGCAAGATCGGTGTCACCAACGCCGAGGTCCAGCAAGTGTGCTTCGGCAAACTAGGTGGTTCATTCTATACACACGAGAGTATGCTGGCGAACCCCCTCACCTTTGCCCTGGCGAAAGATGCTCTCACTCATAAAGGCCCTGGAAAGATATCGAGGCTGGACTTGGCAAAGGTCTGCAGCACGTCTCTTGCGCCCGGGCTTGGTTTGGAAGATCTTTTGATCACGGAGAATGCGATTGCAATTGCTGGTATTTCTCTTGTTTTGTATTTGCCAAAGGTCAAGCAGGAGCCTGCGGTGAAACAGTATGCTTTGAAGGCTGCTGCCAAGTGCTAGGTTCGCTGTTGGCTTCGGGGACTGGTGTGTGATTAGTCGTTTTTCCAAGTTTGCTATAAGTTGAAATTATTGTATGCAGGTGAGTAACACCTCGCACCCCTTGCATAATGCACCAGAAATAAAAAAAGAACCGTGCCTCCACACAGGATTGAACTATGGACCTTCGCATTGCTATACAAGTGCGACGCTCTACCACTGAGCCATAGAGGCAGTTTGTTGACATCGGAGATTTTATGATGATACATATTCCTACCGCCTCAATGATGAAACTATTTTGTCTTAGGGTCTGCAATCTGTACAGCGCGAGGCAATCGGCAGTTTGTTTATTATGATTATATCACAACTTGTAGCTTTAATAGTAGGATTGTATCACTTCATGAAAAGTCGTGAGGAGATCTTGTCACCAAAACCTATTCTTGCTAAATAGTGCCTTGAACCGTTGACTAATGGATTTTGTATCCAATTTTCTCTGACGTCTGATCTGCAACTCTTCATTTCCCCTTCAGTTGTACAGCTGCATAAAAAAAATACTTTCAGGTCATACGGGCATACTTGTGTGCTCGAAGTTTCCATCGCGAGTCCATGAAGAAAGGTTGTTTTGCCATCGTACGTTATTTAACTCAGCCTGACGAAAGGTAATTAAGGTTGGAACTTACACAGTCCTTGCTCTCGGCATCTTGTGGACATGGAACTTCCATCTTTCTTGCTAAAATATTGAACAAGAACATTACATTCTTCCACTGGTTCACAACTCCACCTTTCCTTGTGGCTTTCTTCCTTTGTGTTTATTAACAACAGAGTGAAGGGATTTCCCTGAGAATCAGCATAAGCAAGCTTTTACTTCGACCAAAGAAGCCGAAACTGACCAGATATTCTCTTTTCCTCTCCAGGTCCTGCAAGTTCGTTTTGACAAGATACGTCCTCTGCCAGTGTTTCACAACGACTGGTCCACCAACACCAGCACCCACTTAAAATCCAGGCACATCCACCAACTGTGAGTCTTCGTCTTAGACATTCTGAGACAGCCTGACAAATTGGACATCACGTTCAGCCAGGGCCCAGCACCATAGATGTTGTTTACGGTCAGCAAATCCCAGTTATTACAAGGATCGATAGCTCAGTGGTACGAGCGAGGGATTGCAGATCCCTAGGTCGCGTGTTCGATCCACGCTCGGTCCTAACGATACATTTTTGTCTGTCACGACGTAGCCCATTTCCGCGTCTCTGGTGGATTGTTTTGCGACCACATTCGCCAATTCCTGGGGGTAATCAACATGATTGCTACCGTGTGTAACCTTTTGGTAGTCAGTCAGGTGCGTGTTACTCCCTAACTTAACCCATCGACACTCCCAACCTCCATGGAAACAATATTTTAGACACTCAGACTCATCCAGTTTCTACAAAATCTTACTACGTACTTACCATTGCGTAGCTTCGGTGGAGAGGTACATTTCTCAAAATAGTAAGCTCGGTGCCCACAGCCAATGGGGGGCTGGCGCAACGGTAGCGCGTTAGATTCCAGCGATGTCTTTCGAATTCCTCTCGAAGTTATCGTGACTCCTAAAGGTTATCAGTTCAAATCTGGTGTCCCTCATTTTTACCTTTCCATCCATTTCTCTTTTGCACCATCCCAAAAATCCACATTCTTGAAGTCTAGGGTGAGCTGGGCCAAAAATCTGTTTTTGAGCTGGTTGTGATCGGGTAAGATAGATGCCACGTATCTGAAAACAGTCAATCCGCGAAACTTCAAAGCAGCCATATACATGTTCAACACCAGATAACCAGGAACCCTTTCGGCTTTGGTGCGATGCCTTCAGACCTGCCAATGATTTTCTAGACGAGGGCGGCAACATTGTTGGAGCCATCGGCTGGACCTGTGCACCACCCATTCAACACACGCTCGATCTACATTGGTGGCTCATCTTGGATGTTTGGGGAATGTGGTCCTTTGGAATCTATAATCGAGCTAGTATTTACGATACGAGACTCTAAACTTGGTGGTCGGTAATGGATGCCACTGGATCCGAGATGACAGACTCTTACCGCTTGAACTGTTCTCTTATGTACGTGAAATTTTGGCAAGCGGCCGCTTTTGGCCTAGCTATGCGTCGAGGAAGAGTTCGGAATTCGACACGATTTTTTGGAAATATCTGATGAGAGATTCTTCGGCTCTCGACAAAAAGATTTTCCCGAGGACCAGCACTAAGAAACCAAAGTCTCCTTCCTGGGAAAATAAGTTTGAGGGAAAGATGGAAACCATGGTGCGAAAAAGAAGGAAGAGATGAAAGAGCGCATGTTAACGGAGGGGGATGAAACAAAGGCAAGTAGACGGCTGAACGACATGCTAAGCTGTAATCAGCATAACTTATTTAATCGTAGATTTATGGTTCCATTATGCCGCAAAGTATTTCTGTTCTGAAAAGTGCCAGATCCACGGGTGGTGGAAATGTTTGCAGGATTGACACTAAAAAAGGTCTGTCGGCTAGCCAGTACCTTCTCGGTCTTTGTTCCTACTCGTTACCTTTCGCTATACTTCCTAAGGGAATCTTCCAGGGATCACTAGACATTGTCCCTTGCGGACTTTATTCCAATCGTTACACTACAGAGCGTGGTGGAGGCTTGGGGTCTTTTTAGTTTGAATTGGAAACACTTGGAGCTCATTTTCTTCAGTTTTCAGTGGTGTCAGACGGGGGATGAATAGTCAAGTTACCAAGCTCATCCTTTTGTCTTCTCTCGGGGTACAGAAATAGAGCCGTAAAGGCACTCCGCACTTAGACCCCGCGGCGGTGATATCTCCGTCAATGTCAGACGAGCCAAGACATTGGCTGAAGTACAAGGATCAGCATAACTTGTGACATAAAATGGCTACTGAAGTCCGAGTGTGATCCATGACATAACTCGACAACTGAGCTTGCTTAACCAGGTGATAGAAACGGGAACCACACAACCGCAGCTAACTCCTGTACTATCACCAAGATATCATAATCATATATATCACGATGGCTTCCAAGAAGCCAGTGGTTCTTCGCATAGGTGAGGATATCAAGTACAATCATGACTTTTATAACAACGTCTTTACTCAAAGATTTGATGTCGTTGCAAATGAAGAACCCGACCGAGCATCATTCATAAAAGCCCTGAAAGAAAACAAGTAAGATTTCAACAATACGTTGGTTCGCTCGGACAACATCTAATAGACCAACAGATATGGCCAGTTCTCAGCGATATACCGCCCACATTTCCAAACAGGTGGTGAAATGGGTCAATGGGACGACGAGCTCATCTCGCTTCTCCCCTCTTCAGTCCGCATCTTTGCCTCCGCTGGCGCAGGCTTCAATTGGGCCGATGTTGACGCACTTGGCCGTCGGCGTATCTGGTATGCCAACGGCGCCGGTGCTAGCGACGAAGCTGTCTCTGATACAGCTCTCTTCATGATCTTGTCCGTATTTCGTAATTTCTGGCAATCACAGCGCGGTGCACGCACGTGTGATCCTGAGCAGTTTCATGCCATGCATAAGCTCATCGCAACCATATCCTACAACCCGCGTGGTCACATCCTCGGCATTGTCGGCCTGGGGAATATCAGTAAGCTATTGGCCAGCAAGGCACGATTGGCACTTGGTATGAAGATTCACTACTACGACGTGGTTCGTTCCCCACCGGAAGTAGAGGAAGAGCTCCAGGCTACTTACCATTCATCCCTCCATGAGCTCTTGGGTGTTGCCGACTGTGTCACTCTGCATACCCCTCTCAACGCGCATACGCAAGATCTCATCAACACTGAAGCGTTTGCAGCTATGAAAGACGGTGCGAGGCTTGTCAACACAGCGCGGGGACAGATCGTCAACGAAGACGCGCTGATCGAGGCGTTGAGAAGTGGCAAGATCTCAGCTGCAGGGTTGGATGTGCATTATCATGAGCCTCAAGTGTCAAAGGAGTTAGCAGCGATGGATAATGTCACGCTGACATGTCACAATGGTGGAGCGGCAATAACGACAAGGATCAACTTTGAGCTGATGGCTATGGAAAATATTCTGAGGGTGGTAGATGAGAATGGGGAGTTCTGTGGTGAGCCTACGACGGCGGTGAATCGCAAATCTTTCGAGGAAGCCACTACATAGAGAGAAAGCCGCAGGCAAACTAAAGAGAATCTTACACATCAGTCAATCCTGCAGGAGTATTACGGCTCAATCATTGAGTAGACATGAGCTCGTACGCCCAGGAGGGCTCATTTCTCAGTTTAATGAATGGTTATGGTATGCCTGTGGTTTAAACAATTACAGGTATCTGAAACCAAGCGGTTTGTTGCAACCCTCTTGTCCTCAGAGTCTTGCTTTCATCTATTGCTTTCGGGTGGTAAGTCCTATGAGAGCACCAGTGAGCTATCACTCGACTGCAGAGGATGCAACCGAACATGACGGCAATATTCCCGGGATTGCATCAGCCCCCCAGTCGGACATCTATCCGCTCGTTGTAGTTTCAAGTGCTTATGATACCGGTGATCCGCCCGAGTGGTCGTCTGTCTACATCTCTAGCCGATCTTCAGAGGGTAGGATCAGCAGATGGAGCCACTTCCCCAGGTTTACCCCAGGTACCCCGCTAGAAAGGCATGGATATTGCTCCACGCAACAACCCAGTGCCACGGATCCAATTTATATAACCACATGCCACCATTCAATTCCCAAGAACTGTAGGGAACACAAGCTTCTCAACATCATTTCAAAGAAGGCATTTCATAACATGTTCCAGGCTGTTACTGAGTTCCTCAAGCCCAAAGCGGCCATAAAGACGCAGCACTATGCGCATCTCAAGAATAACACGCACGGAACTTGGTACAAGGATGCAGGTCTTCGCAAGAACGTCTGGCATTGTGTCGGCTTCTACTTTGCGGTCTTTTATCTTGGGGTTTGTCTTGACAACCGACCATCCTGGTAGATGCTGACATTTATCTAGTATGATGCATCTCTTATGAATGGACTCCAAGCGATCCCTGAATGGGAAGAATACTTTAACAATCCCTCCGGAGCAACTCTGGGACTTATTTCGGCCAGTCTTTTCCTTCCTGCCATTATCACACCATTTATAGCCTCTTGGATAAATGGTCTTTGGGGTCGGAAATGGTGCTTGGCTGTCGGTTCGGTCTTGTTGATCCTCGGTGCGTTCCTCAACGCGTTTGCCAAGAATATCGGAACTTTCATCGGCGGGCGAGTCATCATCGGTGCCGCGGGACCATTTGGAAAGATCACGGGTATCGCGCTACTTCAGGAACTCGCACATCCTCGCCTACGGCCCTACGTCGCGACTGCATATTACAGCAACTACTACGTTGGCCAGATTGTGGCGGCTTGGTTCTGCTACGGCACACTATCCTGGCCGTCGACCGAGTGGAGATGGAGAGCTCCCTGCCTCTTCCAGGCTTTTGCCCCCGCAGTCGTCCTCGTTCATCTCCTGTTCGTGCCTGAGAGCCCTCGATGGCTCGTCGACCACGATCGATCGGAAGAAGCCCTCAAGGTTCTGGCTGACGAGCACGCGAACGGCGACATGGACGACGAGCTGGTTCGATACGAGTATGATGAGATTTGCCGTGCTCTCCAGCTCGAGAAGGAAAGTAACAATGCCAAGTACAGTGACTTCCTCAAGACTCCTGGCAACCGACGTCGACTACTCGTGCTTGTCACCATGGGCACGGGCTCTAATTGGGTTGGTAATGGTATCATCGCGTACTACTTATCTCCAGCACTAAAACTCGTCGGTATCACATCCTCAAGCTCCATTGCCGGTATCAACGGCGGTATGGCGATCTGGTCTCTCATCTGGGCATACGCTGGTGCCATGAGTGCCGAACGTCTCGGCCGCCGTACACTCTGGATCACAGGAACAGCTGGTATGTGCGTCGCTTACACTATAATTACTGGTCTCAGTGGTTCCTTTGCCGAGAACCCGTCTCGGAGTGTAGGCATTGCTGTGGTGCCGATGATGTACATCTTCAAGACTTTCTACTGCATCAGCTGGTCGCCTTTGCCGTTTGCTTACGGCGCTGAGATCCTGCCTTACAATCTGAGACTCAAGGGCTTGAGTATTGAGCTTAGTGTACAGAGTGTTGCATTAGCATTCAACCAATGGGTTAACCCTGTGGCACTTGAAGCAATTGCCTGGAAGTAGTAAGTTGGCCCCAATAAATCCAATCTTTTTACAGTAACTAATTTTTGCTAGCTATATCGTTTACATCGCTGTCATCGCCATGTATCTTGTTCTCATCTTATTTTTCTTCCCGGAGACCAGGTATGTCTTGCCTGAGCTGGACCAAGTCAAATCCACCACTGACGTATCTCGCAGAAACATGACCATTGAGGAAGTCTCCGTCCTCTTCGACACTGGACGAAAGGGTGATGCAGCAGCAGCCACCCGCAAGTTTCAGAATAGCACGAAGTTGGATGATATGCTCGAGGAGGTCGATGATCCTGAAAAGGAGGGAACAGTTCAAAGAGTTGAAAGGGCTTAGACGTATGTCAGCCAGCTCAGAATAGCCAAATACTTAGTGGTGAGAGCCTGGAAGATAAGAGCAGCACTTGTATAGGGAACAATTGATCGGCACTGGAGCCACATGTTCTATGTATTTGATGTGATCAGCCATACCGATCACCTGTATGGTCCACATTCCCAAAGCGCTTTAAAGGCTCGGATGGGTGATTGGTGTAGGTTACACCACAGTTGACTGGAAAATGGTATCCGCTCAGTAATGTTTACTCACATCTTGGCAAACTAGAAGAGGGTTAGCTCATTGTCATATCTCTTCCCTGTTCGAGCGGATCTTGGCCAGGAACCTTGCGAAAATCCGTCCCATGGCCCCAATCAACGATGAACTTCGTGTAAATAGCTGCATCGTAATATAGGATAATATTCAATCTACAGAACCTTAAATCAAGGTTCTGTTTACACCTCCCATGCGATAAACAAGTGTATTTCTCCGAGGCCTATAAATTGACATGTTATTGCCCACGGGATTAATCAATGCGTCATTAGACATCAATAGTCAGCTTTGCTAGCAACGACCCCTGTCACGTAAGCTGCACGCAACCAAACGTGCCAATTCCAAGATAAACCCCATGCACAATACGAGGCGTTCTCCTGCACGTGTGCTCATGATGGCTGCATACCCTGACCTAGTCTTGCGGTGGCCACCTGCATTTATTGTCAAGTCGACTTTCGCGGGGAGTAACGAAGCCAATGAGCCATCACCACGAGATCTTACATACATTGAATGCTGACCGACCTGCATTACCGTCTTAGTGAGGTCTGATAAGATGATGTCAGGGACAAAACGGTTCAGTTGTTCGACAACCTATTTAAGATGATGGAGGATCTCATTCGACGCCACATTCTGTGTTTGGGTGTATCTTCGAACGCACAGATCTAAACACCATCTCCAGTAGCTCAAGCCTCAAATATCGTAATCACCATGCTATCTACACTTCGAAACGTCCTCGCCATAGCGGCAATGCTGGTCACATTATCGGTCACACCGGCCGCTGCACTCCCCAATATCAGAGTGCTGCCCTTAGGCGACTCCATCACCAAAGGAACAGGTTCTTCAGGTCTGATTGGCTACCGCGGACCTTTGCGACAAAAGCTCCTCAAGCAGGGCGTCAAGGTCAACATGGTTGGCACGTTGAAGAACGGAAATATGGTGGATGGACACCACGAGGGACATAGCGGAAAGCTTCTTTCCGATATCAACGGATACTGGCAAATGCCGATCAAAGCTCGTCCCAACGTCGTACTCATCCACGCCGGTACAAATAACATGGACCGCGGAATAGATCTCGACATCGCGGCAAATATTATGGCTGATATTGTCGACGGGATCTTCAAAGTCGCTCCGGATGTCACCATCTGTCTTGCACCTGTCATCTGGGCCAACGACGCCAAGATGCAAGCAAACACCGACAAATTCAACCCTAAAATTAGGTCGCTTATCGCTGCGAGACAAAAGTCTGGCAAGCATATCCTAGAAGTGCCGATTGATATCAAGAAAGCCGATCTTGGTGATTCGAAACATCCTAACGATGATGGATATGAAAAGATGGCTGATGCTTGGTTGAAGGCGATTCTCCAGGCTGATAAGAAGGGTTGGTTGAAGACACCTATTAAGATGAGTCCCGAAGATGCTCCTGGAACTGGCTTGGGGGCATAATAAGTACGAGATGGGAAGTTGGTTGGAACGTTGGGCATGAGAAAGGTGAATAAGAACATGATTTTATGATAATGAGAGAGGATAGGCACATTGATCTTTCTTTTACGTCCTACGTTTTGCGACCTGGCAAGTGCTTGCGCATTGTCTCACGCAATGATATTGATTGATGTGCCACGCCTAATAAAGACATAATGCATCGATTTCCGCTCTTGCATCGTTCGGTGACATGCTGACTGAATGCGGGAGGCTCCCACATCTGAAATTCCAAAGACGTTTACTTGTCAGAGTGAAAGAACTGGAAGCGGGGAATTGACACCTTTGGTGGTTTGGCGGAGTGGCTTGGCTGCGGAGCGGAACAAGTACATCCGGATTTAGATGACGGAGCCTGTAAACTCCGGCTTCTATCCCCGGTTCTGCATGATACTCAATTAAATAAAGAGATAACGCCCCTCATTCACTGTCCATCGACGCGCAATCATCCAAATCCCTTTTCAAGATCATCATGGCCACAAAGTCACTCATCGTCGGCGGCACAGGCGGCATCGGCTACGCTATCGCCTGTCGCATCGCCTCAAGCTCACCGTCATCAACTGTCATCATCAGCGGCCGCAATGAGCCAAAGGACATCCCTCACTCAAACATCCAATTCCGAGCGCTCGACGCAACCTCAATGCGCTCGATCAAGAAATACACCGACGAGTTCAAGACGTCGCAGGATCGCATTAGCACTCTTGTCCTCACCCAGGGCATTTTGACAACCGCTGGCCGAACGGAAACGCCAGAGGGCATCGATCGCAAGATGGCGCTTCATTACTACGGACGACAGCTCCTTATCCGCGAGCTAACGCCGGCTCTTACAGACGACGCCAAGGTTTTGATTGTGCTGGACAGTGTGCGTGGCGGGCCTGATAAGCTCAATTGGGATGATCTGGATCTCAAGTCCACCTTCAGCCTCGGGAACGCTGCTGCACATTGCCTCTCCATGACCGACGCCATGATCCAGCATTACGCTACAGAGCAAAAGCTCGAGGGTAAGCAACGGCATTTTGTTCACGCGATGCCTGGCGTGGTCAACACCAGCATTGCGCAATCACTCCCTTGGTATATGCGTGTTCCTGCGTCGGCTGCAGCCAGTCTCCTGGGCAGGTCACCTGATACCTGTGCTGAGAATATGATCAAAGGAATGAACGAGGTGGCAAAGGGGGATAAGAACTATGGTTTTATTAATGAGAAGGGAAACGTATTCGAAAAGAAAGCTTGGGATGAGGATCAGGTCCAGAAGGTCAAAGACCACACCTGGAAGATCCTGGATGAAGCCTTGAGTAAGGCTTAGTTTTATTTATTAGTGTCTTTTGGGAGCATTGGATTGTATTTATGGCGATCGGATCGTGTCATGGATGGTATCTCAGATTGGCGATGATACCGATGGGAATAAACACACTGAAAGGAAGGACAGTGGATCATCTTCTTTCAACAAATAAAGATTAATGTTATACATCTCACCCGAAAAGAAAAATAACGTGCTTTTCGTTTCCTCTTTTCTTTAGTTACACCACTCCCTATATTCCAGTAGCATACATCAACATCGCTAGTCACAATGCCTTTTTCTACAAGCGCCCGCCACTCTTACATATGCAATCTACAAAAATTCAAAAAGCAAATTCTGATCAACTTGGATCTTATTGTGCCACGTCAAGGGATCGAACCTTGGACCTTGTCATTACTTGTGATGGTATACCATACTAGTGACACGCTCTACCACTGAGCCAACGCGGCGCGCTTTGATTGGTCGAGAACGCCGGTTGATAATGACGTATCTGAATGTTGTTTTCAGAACACAATCATCATTCCATGCTTTGCCAGTCTTACCATATGACGAGACATTGTTGCAATGATCGAGCTTCACGGTATGGAACTTGATAACTATCCAATCAATGGCGTATACATGAGACATCAGTTGAAATTGCAACGAGTGAAAAGTCCTTCGTCCTCAATTGCCTTGCCATGATTGATAACTTGTTCTAAATACATATTTTTCACTCTGTCGAAGAGGGTTGCATTTGATGAACAATAAGCGTTTCTCAGATTACACAGCATATCTCTATGTAGTTTATATGGTGATGCCTCAGGGCTGTCAATAAATTAAAACCCGATGAGTTTTCAAACCATAGGGTAGCCAGCACGCGCTTCTGTGGAATGTAGTGTCGCACAAATTTGCGTCAGATCGATGAGGGAGCGTCAAGTGAGTGCTCCGTATGGGTGGACTAAAATTGTTATTGACGGAAATTTCCACATGTATTATTTGGCGGCTGGCCGGTCATCTCGTGGGGGCTTTCCAGATACCACATTGTGATTTACCGTAATATCTCGCAAAATACATCACGGTTAGCTTGTGGCTTATACAGGTTATGCTTTCCTCCCGTGCAAATCTCTGCCTTTTTAAGTTAATAGAAACGCTATCTTCTCGGGCCTTCAATATTCCCTTCCTCATGATTTGATCAAGAGTTAACTTCCCTAACCCAGCTCTGACTGACGTCGCGCTACCCGTGATGTATTTTGCGAGATATTACGGTATTCGTCCTCTCCAGGGTTGAGAGACGTTGAAACAAGCATCTTCTCCGAGAGCCAACGGTTCTCGCCTAATCCGAGCACTCGTGGCGAGAATCACAAGCCAGAGCAACCAAACTGTGGGCCTAACCGCGGGACAATCGGTTGATCGCTGCAGACATGATCAGGTCGATACAGTTTCTCTCCCGGCCATCTTATCAATCAGTGGATCACCGACCTCGGATGCGTTGCCAAGCCGGTTATCACGGATACGTCCATCGTTCATTGGCCATGAGCGATCAACTTCCTGTTCTGTCCGTCTGGCGCCGTGTGGCTGCAGGAGACGTCGTCTAGCACCCCGGTCCAGCATGTTAGAGCACTAACAGAATTTGGTGTGATGCGCTGCCATTTAAGTTGATCAATTATTGTCGTACGATGATCAATCTCAATCTTTCATCATCGCGAGATTGATAAAGATTTCTTGTAGTCATAACTGCCTAAATCGGCCTAACTCGTACATTCAACGGCACAATCTGTGTGTAATAACGTGGGGACATTTAGTGTCGTCGGCTTGAGCACCAAATGAAGATAATCAGGCAAAAACAGGTCTGGACAGGTATAATGAAGAGAACAAATTTTCATTTTTAATACCTCACTGAAGGATAGTCTGCCCTCGATTAGCCCTGGGTTTATCACTCCCATGCTTGTCCATCGCTGTCTCCCTTGGCTCAAACCTCCTGCACATCTCATTTACGCAGCCCAGGTGCATATTGAGTAACCATGGACATCGACAAGAAGACCCCCGATATAGAAGCGGGCAGGGAGTCACCCACCATCGAACCAACACCACTTGGGACCAACAACGACGCAAATGCCGACACCAAAGCAGCCTTTGAGACACGCAATGTCGGTACTCTGAACCGAAAGCTCAAGTCCCGACATGTGCAATTTCTCGCCTTGTCTGGAGCTATCGGCACAGGTCTTTTCGTTGGCAGTGGCCAGGTCCTATCTCTCGCAGGACCCCTCTCGGCCTTTTTAGCCTACACCATCACAGGCTTCAACATCTACTGCGTACTCAACAGTGTGGGCGAGATGGCAGCTTGGTTGCCTATTCCTGGTCCAGTTCCCATCTTCGCAGCACGGTTTGTCGATCCCGCTCTTGGATTCGCTCTCGCGTGGAATTATTGGTACCAATTTGCCATCGGAGTTCCCATCGAAGTCACTGTCTCGGCTGTCATTGTTAATTACTGGCACAACGACGTCTCTCAAGTCGGTCTGATTACACTATTTTACTTCTCAATGGTGCTCCTGAACTGTCTACCAGTGCGAATCTATGGAGAAGCCGAATTCATCTTCGGAGCGATTAAGTTATTGACCATTGTGGGACTGATCATCCTGATGTTCATCATCACCGTCGGCGGTGCCCCCAATGGCGAGGCAATTGGTTTCCGCTACTGGAATCATCCAGGCCCGATGAATGAATACCTGAAAGAAGGTGCCCTGGGGAGATTCCTTGCATTTGTCAAAGTATTCATCACGGCAACTTTCTCATATGGCGGAAGTGAGATGGTAGTCATGGCGTCCGGAGAAACCGAGAACCCTCGCCGGAATATTCCAAAGGCTATCCGCCGCGTCTTTTGGAGAATTGCAATTTTCTACGTTCTCTCAATCTTCCTCGTGGGTCTCTGCGTCTCATCCAAGGACCCTGGTTTGCTGAATGCCATTAACAAATCTGCTCCTGGTGCTGCGTCGAGTCCATTTGTGATTGCGATCCGCAATGGTGGTATCAAGATCCTCCCATCCATCATCAACGCCGTTATCCTGACATCGGCTTGGTCTTCTGGGAATTCACTCTTCTACGCAGCGACACGCGTTCTTTATGCCGCTGCTCTCGACGGCAAAGCACCAGCCATCTTGGCCTGGGAGAGATTCGGTGTGCCTTATCTCTGTGTCGCTGTCACCACCGTTTTTGGATTGCTTGTCTATCTAAATGTCAGTAACAGCGGCGCAGAGGTGTTCTTCTGGTTCAGTAACTTGAGTGGCGTTGGAGCGCTCATTATCTGGGCAAGTGTCTCTTTCACATACCTGCGTTTTTATTACTGCCTTCGCTATAATGGCATTGATCGCAATACGCTACCTTTCAAATCACCACTGCAACCATACCTCGCTTACTTTTCCTTTTGCTTTTGTACTATTGTGGCAGTCTTCAATGGCTTTGATGCCTTCTTTCCTGGCCATTTCAGTGCCAAGTCCTTCTTACCACCGTACATCAATATTCCTATTTTCTTAGTTTTGATCTTTGGCTATAAGTTCATCAAGAAATCGAAGTACGTTGAGTACTCTGAAATGGATCTGTGGTCTGGCAAGGCCGAGATTGATCGCCTGGAGTCGACCTGGCCAATTATTCAGCCCAGAAACTGGCTTGAGCGAATCTGGTTTTGGATTGCTTAGTGTGAAGCGATTGCCCAAGAGCCGCCAAGTGAGATGGTTTCTTGCACAAAACCTTTCTACACACGAGAAAAAATAAAAGGCTATATGGAACTCTGATCATAGAAGGTTATGATACCTTGGAGGCTAGAAAGAAAATAGTGTTACTGAACTAAGCAAATATAGAACCCGTCATAAAGGTTGGTAAATATATGAATGTAGTTGTTCTAATTATCGCCCCTCTGCTTTCCGATGTGAATAACCCTGTCTTTGCTGAACCGGAAGCACTCAGGCATGCCCGTGGCACTCCACGGTCCACCCATGATGAGTTTCGCTAATCCAGGAGCACACTGGAAAATTCGGGCCATACCTTTATACTGATCAGCTAGTGTGAACAAAGATCTTGAATAACTCACCATGTCCATTAAAGCCAGCGCAGATCCACTGGCCATCCAACCCATCAATGGGTCCAACGAGCGGCACAGCATCGGGAGTCTCTCCAACAATCCCGGTCCAAACATGAGAGAACCCTTCTCCATAACGTTCTGTCTTCACTGAGGGTGATCCAAAAGCCAGCATGGAGAACTCATCGATGCTGTTTGCCATAATGCTGGGGTTGTGTGTTGAGTCATCAAAGGTGAATCTGTCTTTGAGGTAGTTTGGAGTCCAATCTGAGTCTTGTCTCGATGCCCCGCCCCCAAGAATGAGAGTACCATCTCTGAGTGGATTGACGGAGAAAAAGTGCTTGGGCCCATATCTTAGAGACATTGTGCTTCGTAGAGTATTGGCGCCGGACAATGAATCGGGAGGTACATATGAATGGCCCTGTGCTCTTCTTGGTTTAATAGTATCAGCCAACTCCGGAAGTAAGAATGACGCGTATGCATTAGTACAATGGATCACAGTTTTCGCCGAGACAGTTCCCCATGGAGTGGTAATATCCCACCTCATACCAGTTGAAGGTGAAGCTTTGTGCTCTAGGATCTTGGTTGCAGGACACTGTGTCCAGAGCTTACCGCCCTTTCGAATTACATCACTCAAAATCCATTGACACAGCTTGGCTGGGTGGTTGGACGCCGCAGGCCATTCATACGCACACAAGGCCGCAGGAAGCCTAGTCTTGATCTTGGCTTCTTCCCCGTCGTAGAATTCAATGTGGGAGACATCGCCACCAGCGTCACGGAACGCTGCAAATGCACTGACTAAGGACTCCTTGTAGTCTGCGTTGAGACATGCCTCGAAGGTCGTGGTGTAGTTGAAGTCGCAGTCAACATTGTTGGTTTCGACAAAGTCTTTGACGTTCTGCAGTACAACTCTTTCATGCTCGAGAATTAATCTTGCCTGCCCAGGTCCATGGATGGAAGAGAAGCGAGGGAAGCCATGGAAAGCATCTGCAAGTGTATTATTAGGAATATTCCACTAAAAGAACGGCGCGATTTGTATCAAAGATCAGTGACTAACCGGGTCGAATGTGTCCTGCATTCCTACCAGTTGCACCCGAGACGGCCTCTCTTGCCTCAAGGATCAGAATATCCTCTCCAGCGATGCCGCTGTTGATCAGTTCCCAAGCGGTCAGAGCTCCTGAGATACCAGATCCGATAATGAGGTACTGGGTATATAGGGGAACATCGGCGGAACTATTCTCATTCAGGTGTGGAAATGAGCGGGTAGTTTGGTGCCAATGCGACAGGTTTGGAGAGTGGACGGGGAGTGAAGGCTGCATGGTAAAGTTTAGCAGGCTTGACGAAGGCGCACATAAGATAAACACTTTCGGAAAGAATGAAATACCGAGGAATTGATAC